GCTCAGTGCAGAGCACTCGGGCCCTGTCTGCGCTGACTGCGCCGCACTGTCCGCTCAAGAGCGGCCAAAGCAAACAGGGAGGCGCCCCTGGGCGGGCGGCACCAGAAGCCCCCCTCCTGGGGCTCCCCCACCCATGGCCTGCTGGGATCTGCGGCTGTGTCACCCAGACCCCTCCTGCTGCTGTCCCGGGAGGCCCCTCGGGGGGCTGGCTGAGGGGCTGCCGGGCAGCTGATGAGGCAGAGGGAGTTGGGGTCCGCCTTGGTCTTGGAGTGCCGCACGGGTGCGGTGGGAGAGGAAGGCCATTGGTTGCTCGTGGGGGAAGTGGCGAAGGCTGGAGCGAGGGCCGCTGAGCAGCCTGAAACCTGAAGGGTGACTGAGTCATGCCCTGGGGTCCCCTGGGCAGCTCCCGGGGCTGGACGGTAGCTGGTGTCCTGCAGCTTTGCGTCCCCCCACCCCAGCACCCACCCAGTCCCGCAGCCCCTTTGCAGGAGGCACCTGCTGCGGCCCCTGTGGGAAGCCCCTGGCCGGGATGCATGCTGCGGGTGCTGGTGGACCCCATGTTTATGGCCCAGGACCAGCTGCCTATGCACAGCCCCCGGAGAGTGGGGGTGTGAGGGAGAGCCGGCAGCGGGCCCGAAATCTTCCCAGCAAGGACAGCCATGAAGGGAGCAGTCCCCAGGTGAGTGCTAAAGTGTACGGGACTAAACGCTGCCCACGCAGCCCCACCCAGGGCCTGCAGGGTTTGGACGATGGCAGGAGGCCCGCAGGGACAGCCCTCTGGTCCTCTGGGGACACCACCTTTGCCCTTTGGGCATCTAGTAGCCTCCAGAGCTGCAGACCGCAGAAGGCGGAGCAGGACGGTCTGAGGCGCCGCGTGCCTCCTGGGGTACCCCACACTGTCTGCTCATTTATCTGAGACCTCGCCGGTGGCAGGGAAGGAGTGGGCGCGGGTAATTTGCGGGGTGTGCCCTGCATGGGCCAGCGCCTCGTGCTTGCAGCGTCAGCCTGCTCCCAGCACAAACAGGACTAGTTAATGGGCGGGGCCGCCCACGCACCCCAGACCCCCGGAGGAAACGCTTGTCTGGGTCAGCAGAACGGGCAGCGCCAGCCTTGCCTGCATGCTGCCTGGGGCTTCTAGGAGGGCACCACCTCTGTGGCCGCTGGCCTGGCCAGACGTCCATGCACTGTCCCCAACATACACTCCACAGAGCACTGCGCAGCTGGGTGTGCTGAGGCAGAGTGGTGAAACCCGTGGGTGCGGCTGAGACCCAGCCTGTCCTCCCCTGGGGAAGCCTCCCTGCCACTGAGTGTGGAGCCTGGGCAGGGGTCCAGAGCTGACCGGTCCACCGAGAAGAAAGAGGAAAAGCAACCACCAGCAGCGGCAGAGGCCAGAGTCCATCTGCCTTCAGGGCCTGGGGGAAACAAGCCACGGGCTCCTCCCTGAGGAGGTGGACAAGAGATAGTGGTCTCACGTCTGTCCTAGGCACCGGCCGCCAGCTCTGGTCACCTGGGGCCTGGCCAGCAGAATCCCTCTGCAGCCTGCTATGCAGCCTCCTATGATCACTGACCCCCGGTGGACACAGCCAGTCCACAGTGACGCCTAGGTAATGCCCAGAGCCCAGCCATGCCCCAGGGCACGCCCAGCATCATGCTCCGGCCATGCCTCTGAAAACCAGAAGGTCAGGGGTCTTGGTTTGACCCCAGTGGTCTGGAGAGTGTTTTCAGAGTGAAGGTCAAAGGCACAAGGAGGGGGGCCCAGCTGGTGACAGGCCAGGCCCCAACGGGATCTCTGGGAGACAGGATCCAGGGTGCACATGTCGGCATGAATGAGGTCTCCCTCGGTAGGGGGGTCGCCTCCCCCCACTCCCCACCCCCCTCCACCCTCCCACCCTCTGCCCCCGCAGGGAGCACCAGGGCCCCACCCAGGACCCCACCAGGTTGGCTCCTGCATCCAGGCCAGGGGTGGGGGGAGTGAAGTTGGGAGTGGGGTGGGGGGTGAGGGGCCACCCTTCTGCTCACACCCGCAAGGAAGGAAGGAAGGAAGGCAGGTCCAGTGTCTAGGCCCAACTGCCTCTTTGAGGGCGCACCCAGCCAGGCAGTGAGTGCAACAACTGGGACCGGAGCTGCTCATGCCTGTGGGAGGGTGTCCCCGCCACTGCCAGGCCTCTCTGGCCCCGGACAAGCATCCGGGACTCACGGTCACACCAGCACGTCCCAGAGCAGGCAGGCTGAGCCCCAGAGGCCACTCCCACGGGGATAGGCCAGGCCGCATCCTTATGCACTCAGGGCCCGGGCGGCCTGGGTCCATGCCGCAGCCAATCCTTGCCCAGCCCGCAGAGCCGATGGACCAGGTACCACCAGACAGACCTGTCAGCCCTAAATGGGTGCACGTCCCCTACCCTGTCAGTGCTGTGCCAGGCGCAGGTGCCCCCAGTCCTCCCAGGTCCCCGGTGCTGGGTCTGGGAGGTCCACGGCTCCTGTGGTCCCAACACAGGCCCTGCCTCCATGGTTGGCAGGGCAGACCTGTTCTCCCAGCAGTGCCTGCCCTGGTCCTGGGAGCCCCCAAATGGGGAGCCTGCAGGGCCATGGGGCAGGCTGCCCACAGCATGGCTCTTGCTTGTGCACGCTGCAGGCCACAGGCCATGGCACCTCTCCTGCCCCTGCATTCCCACCCAGTCCACAAACTCTGCTCCCTCCTCCGCATGAAGGAGCGAAACCACCAGGCCCATGGGCGACGGGCAAGGTGACCAGCTGCGTGCTATCCCTGGACCAGGGGGCCCACTCTGGGTAGCCGGACACCCTGCTGATGGCCGTGGGCCTATAGACAGGATGTGTCTGCTCCTTGGCGCCCGTGAGCCCCTCCCAAGGCAGCAGGAGCCAGGGACTCAGTCTGTCCCCACGGGTCAACCCTTGTCTCGGTCACCTCCTGCAGACACGCGCACGCTCCGATGAGCGCCCTGGGCTGGCCCAGCTGGGCCTGTGCTGCCTATTGGGAGCACCCACTGGCCAGTGCTGGGCCCAGGCGTCCTCACTCGTCCTGTGGGGCCTGGGGCTCCAGGCAGCAGGGCTGTGACTTGGCCTCAGGTGCCCGCCCCCTTCAGGCCGAGCGGAGCGGGACATCCTGTCCTGTGGTCATGCCAGGCTGGGCAGTCCCCCAGGCTGAGCGGTCCTCCAGGCTGGGCCAGGCAATGACGCATGCCCCGCCCCCCCAAGTCTCAGCTATTTTCATCATGATCTTCCTTCCTGTGTTGAGGAGCCGTGGCCAGCCTGGGGGCTTCCTGGAACATTCCGCGGATTCCTGAGGAATCCTGAGGATTCCTGAGGGCCATCCCTGCAGGGCCACAGCAGGTGGTAGGGAGGCGGGGTGGCCAGGGAGCCTGGGCCGGAAGGAAGGGGTGCGATGAGCTCACAGAGACACGAGGGGCTAGCAAGGGAGACCAGCGGGCCTGCAGGTCGGAACTGGCAGGGCAGCCACACCCGGCCATCCTGGACCCATGAGCTGGAGGTGGGGCTGTCTGGAGGTGGGGCTATCCAGACGTGGGGCTCCCAGAGTGGGTGCCAGTGCTGGTCCTGCTCCCCCCAGCCAGCGGCCTCGCCCCACGCGACACCCCAATGCGGCCAGAGCTGAGGCACCACGGCTCCTGGCTGAGTTCTGGAGCAAGCTGGGACCCGAAGGCTCTGCTTACCCCGCGCTGGCTCCCTGCTGCCAGCAGGCAGCTGGGCAGGAGGCGGCTTGTCCCATCCTGTGCGTGGACCGGCCTCAGTGTTCCTGCCCTGTGTTGGGCCACGTGGTCACTGAGGCCCTGGAGGGAGGGGGCCCACTTTTCAGAAGAGCTGGGGCTACACTGTGTGGACCCCGGATGAGGAGCATGGAGAGGAGATGACAGCCATGCACATGGCGTGACCTGCCCTGCGCTCCAGAGGTCAGGGACCTAGCGTGGCTGCCACGCAGAGACCAGTGGTAGAGGGCTAGGCAGCTGGCCCTGGCCCCCAGGGATTGCCCCAACAGATGAACCCGTGGTAGGGCCCCTCAGGGGCACCACTGAGCAGGGTACAGCCCAGCCCGGCTGCCTGACCTGCTGGGGCAGTCCACACGGAGGCCACAGCCACCTCCATGAGGTCTCAACAGCCCACCATGCAGGGCCAGCCTGGTAGGACATGAGGGCCAGCAGGGCTGCAGGCTCAGCATCTGCACGGTCCTCACCTCACACAAACCCAGGCCAGCCTTTCTCACCTCCTCTGGCAGCAGCTCAGAGCAAACAGAGCAAACAGAGCACGGAAATTCCTCCTGGCCCCTCCCTGCCGCCCACGCCCTGCAGGGGGGCTGGTTCTCCCAGGGGCTCAGGCCATCGGGAAGACCTCGGACTTGCCAACTTCAAAGGCCAGTGCCTGGTCCTGGTGCCCTGGCCCAGGAGGTGGGGGTAGGCGGGGGCTGGGCAGGGGGTAGCTGGCCCGGTGGGAGTGCAGCTGCAGTAGCGCAGGCCCCACAGCCCCCATAAGCAGGTACAGGCTTCTGGCCAGGGAGGCTCCGGGGCCCAGACAGGCATGCTTTGCGGCAGGGAGCTGTCACTTCCTCCCCGGCAGCAGGCTGGGCGAGGGTGGGGATACCGGGAAGGCAGGAAAAGCAGGCAGACCTCAGTCGCATGAGCCGGGGGCAGGCCTGGGCTTCGGCCTCTGGACCTGACCACTCTGGCGGGCATAGTTAGCAGAGAGCAGCTTGGGGAGGGGTCCCCAGTGAGGATAAGAAGCCATGGTCCCCTGGTTGGAAATGAAGGGCAGCTCCCGACCTTGGGCAGAGGTAGGCCCTGATGTCCAGGTGACACTGAAACACATCTGCCTTCCCTGGATGCCGGCGGATAGCGGTGGAGGCAGCGCAGAGACAGCCACGGCCCCCAGCCCCTCTAGCCCCCCCAGCCCCTCAGAAAGCAGAGTTGCCTGTGGCTCTGCACCAGCCACCCCACGGGCCCAGGCAGGCCGGGGCGAGGCAGGTGCCCACCCACCTTCTTCAGCTTGCCGCTCCTGGTCCCCACGAAGACCACACTGTCGCCGTTGTAGACGTAGGCAGCCACGGAGGTCATGCGGTCCCGGCTGGTAGTGTGCAGCGCTAGGCCCTCCACCGGCGTCGAGCCCCCCAGCGGCTGGTTGATGTCCAGGCCACAGAAGTCGTCCTCGATGGGCACAGGCTGAGGAGGCAGGGCTGTGAGTGGGTTGGGCTCGGGCGGTGACCCAGCCTGGCCATGGGGGCAGGCTCCGCCCTACATGGGCAGGTGTCGGCGAGGGCCCCCTCTCCCCACCCCACTCCCGCGGAGGCAAGGTGGCCCTGGGTACTGCTCCCACCCCTTGGGACACCAGGATTCTCAGTTCCCACACCCTACACAGGGTGAGGCGGCCGTCACCACACCTCTATCCCCGGGATGCTGCTCCCATTGCCCCACCAAGTAAAGCCGGTCACCCCATGTCCTGGAGTGGCTGGTCATGAGCCAGGGCGGCCCTGCCCTGCCCACACCCAGGCAGGACACTCCTTCCTGGAGGCCCCAGTTGTCCATGCAGCTGGGGTCAGCCTCCCACCCCCCTGCCCGTGTGGCTGAGTGTGGTGTATGGGGAAGTGGATGAGTCAGCCTGAGTGTGCCTGGGTGAGAGTGTGCTGTATGAGGTGAGGGTAGGCACAAGTGTGAACTGTGCAAGCATGTGCGTGTGCACACCAGTGAGAACGTGGGGATGTGTGGGTGGTGTGTTCTTGGGATGAGGAATGCACTTTTACCTCCAGGATGACCTTGAACTCTGGGGGAAGTCAGAGGGGGAGGCAGGTCCCTGGGGCGGGGCAGGGACATCGCGGGGCTGAGTGCGGTATGGGATGCTGGCCATGGAGTGCAGACTTCTAACAGCCCCTCCGGTGCTCCTCGCATGCCCCGGAGCCCAGGCATGCTTCTAGCTTCTGCAAAGGCTCCTGGACCTTTTCCTGATGCCCCCTCTCATCCTGGCACAGCAGGCAGTGGTACCCAGTGGACTCGGATCTTGACTGAGCCCTGACTCCTATGCTGTCTGAGCCTTGGTTTTCTCTGCCCTCCACAGAAAAGTGAAAGGAAGACCCTGGTCACCAACACTCCTTTTCAGTTCTGCCTGCTTGTGATTTCAGTGTCTGCCACCTCTCCAGGGCAGGTAAGGCTGCAGAGTTAGGCACAGGCAAAGCAGACGCCAGCTCTGGGGAATACAAGCACATGCAGAAGCTCACTCCCTCCCCGCAATCCTGACTACCATGCTGTGGGGATGCGTTAGCTCCCAGCCAAGCCCTCGGGAGGGGCTGGCTCTTCTCCCCCATCTCTAAACTGCGGGGTGTTCCCCAAACCTGGCTGCCTTTTCCTCTGCTTAGGGGTGCTTGGCAAGTGCCCCACTGAGAGTAGTCAGACTGCCAGAGGGGTCAGTGCGGGTTGCAGGGGCACAGCCCATGCCAGCTCTGCCTCATCCTTGGTCACATGGACCGAGGCGCTGTGCCGAGACCGGGCCTCCCTGCTGTAGCCGAGGCCCTGGCTCTCCTGGTCTAGTGCAGATGGGACAAATGCGCCCTTAACCTGCCCAGCAGGGCCAGCAGGGAGCCCTGCTCAGGTGCGGGCCTCCTCGCGCTACCAGGACAGACTCAAGCCCCTTGTCCAAGAGTGCCTGTGAGCCCCAGACCCCCATGCTGTGCTTCCCACTCCCCTGACCTCTCGAGGTCACCAGGGCCTTTGGGCCCTCAGGCCTGGGCTGACAGGACTCTGAGGGGCGCCCGCTACCCCAGCTCCAGACTGCCCCAGGAGAGAGCAGGATCCTGGGGGCTGGCGGGGCGAGTCTCTGAAGGCCTTGGTCTCTGGCCGACTGGCTCTGCACCAGCCACTGCAGCCAGGAGGGCGTTGCTTCCTCTCCCCTCTGGCCTGAGGCTACAGGAACGGCAGTTTCCTCCTGACAAGGCCCCTGGACCTGGGAGTCCACAGAACCCGCAGAGCCTGTGGGTCAACCTCCCCACTAGCTCCAGTGGGGCTGCAGGGCATGAGGGCACCCACAGTTTGGGAAAGCCTGAAGGGTCCAGGCCGACTCCTGGCTCTGGAGCCAGGACAGTGGGGACAGTGGCTGTAGCAGCTGCTGTCCACTGCCTCTTGATGCCAGGTGTGGTGCTGAGATTCATACATGTTTCTGTCTGGTCTTCATGATCACCAGGAAAAAGAGGGTGTCACCCCCCAGAAGTCAGTGCAACTCAGACCTGCGGTGGGTCTGGGCCGAGGCACACAGCTGTGGTGGTAGAGCAGGCTGTTAGCCACAGAGCCTCGGGCTCCGCACCTGTGTTCCAGCTATGACCACCAGCCCCAGGCAGACAGCAGGAAGGGCAGCAGCACAGCCAGGGCAAGTGTGGACCCCACACTCAGCCCCATATCACACTGCCAGCAGGTGCTGAGCTTCCTCCCTCTAGAACAAACAGTGCATGAGCAGGGACTCTGCCTTTTTGCATCAGTGTCTTCCCCACCCAGAACAGCGTGAACACTCAGAATCCTCAGTATCCTATTGTTACATGGATGGAGGGGTGAATGGGGGATGGATGGATGGATGATAGATGGATGGATGGATGGATGGACAATGGATGGATGGATGGGTGGATGATGGACAGATGGACAACGGATGGTTGGATGGATGATGGATGGGTGGATGATGGGTAGACAGGTGGATGGATGAAGGTAGCTTGAAGGTAGCTTGAAGGAGTGGCAGGTGGAGTGGTGGGTGAGTGACTGGATAACGGAAGGACGGAAGTGTGGACGGGTAGGTGAATGGTTGGATGGAGGATGGACAGATGTGGGTGTGGACAGTTGGTGGATGTGTGGCTGAAAGGACTGATGGATGGAGGATGGATGGATGGAGGGGTGGGTGGATGGTGGGTGGCTGGACAGGCAGGCCATGGTGACCACCTGGACACAGCGTGCTGACCCTACAGGACAAACTATCCACCACATTCTGTCTCTGCCCTCTTCAGGTCTGGAGCTCCGGCTCTCCCTCCCGCCCGCTTCCCCTTGCCCACATTCCTGACTCCTCTCCCCAGGTCCAGCCTCACAGCCAAGCCCCATGCCCATCCCTCTCCACCGCTAACAAGCCACCTGCCTACTTGGGTCCTGGTGTTGCTCACAGTAGCCACCAAGGCCCTGCTGGGACCCCACCCGGTCCCCACTACCTCTGACCAGACTAGCCTCACTTCTTGCCCCCTCTCACCCATGGTGATCGGCTATGGCGGTCTCCTGCTGCCCCGCCCCTCCTGCGTGCCCAGAGCTGTGCCCTGCGTCCCCTCCTCCACAAGTCCTCAGACACCCACTCTCTCCCTGCCCACCTCACCAGGCTTTGCTCAGACTCCCTTTCCTCAGAGACCCTCTGGGGCACCAGCCCCCTTCCCAACTGACTCGCTCTGCAACAATTTTACCAGTGGACAGGCTCCAGGGTCTGTGCCAGTCCCATGAGGCAGAGACTCGCTGAGTGGGTCGAGGCTAAAGCCAGCAGCGCCCCCTCCCCCCAGCACATGCGGGTGAGGCCACTCAGGGCTCTGCAGAGTGAGTGCCCAGTGCGGACACTGCTGCCCGGGTGCCACCCACCTCCACCCAGTCCTGAAGCCCTCTCTCCCTTCAGCCCAGGTGGTCTGGATATAGGAGGAAGGAGAGGCAGGAGGGAGGAGGGAAAGGGCGGGAGGAGGAGGGATGGAAAGGAAGGAGGAGGAGCAGGGTAAGAGAACAGGGAGTAGGAGCAGGGGGAGCACTGCCGGGGAGCAGGGTGGGGCAGGGGAGGAGGCTGGGTGGGGTGGGGTGGGACGGAGCAGAGCAGTGGGTTGCAGGGACACTCACTGCCTTTGTGCACTGCACATCCTTGCCCAGCAGCCAGGTGAGCTCCAGGTGGCCCTCGCCCTGGTAGCAGGAGCGCAGGCGCTCCTTGATGCGCAGGTTGACGCTGCGGATGGGGAAGGCACACAGGGCCGAGTCCTCGGGCGGGTGGTGGTACTGCTTCTGCCCCTTGGAGAAGATGGCAAAGAGCACGTCATCACGGCCGCTGACATTGAGTGCGCTGGCCAGCGTGTCCCCTGGCCGGGCCAGCGCGGCAGCCTGCAGCAGGCGGTACTCCACACCGGCACGCGTGCAGCCCAGCGGCAAAGACACGTAGGAGTGGAACTTGGGGTCATCCTGGCACAGGCGCACCACACGGGACGTGTAGAACAGGTCCCCAGCTGCGTTGAGTGCCCCACCCTCAGGCGTCTCGGGCTGCACTGTGAGGAAGTAAACGAAGCCGCCGCTGGCAAAGCCGTAGATGTAGAAGATGTCGAAGTGTGCCACGAGGGCCAGCGTGTCCGAGGGGATCTTGATGAGCGAGGACACGAAGTCGCTGTGCAGCTCGTAGTCCAGCATGGCGGAGGACTCGGGGTCTCGCGGCAGCTTACGGCTGGACAGCGTGGGAAAGTAGTCCTGCTTGCCGTCCACAGCCGTGCCGATGAAGAGCGTGCCATCACGGCCCTGGGCGCGCACGATCACCCCGAACATGGTGCCTGTCTGGTTCACGCTGGACAGGTAGTGCTCCTTCTTGTGCGAGGGCTCGCCCAGAGTGAAGAGGTCGTCCAGGCGCAGCAGCTTGCACACGCCCTGGTACAGGCTGCCACAAGCCAGTAGCCGGTTCTCGGGGTAGTCGATGAGCAGCAGCTTGTTGACGTTGTTGGTGAGTGCAAGTGCCTCCCCACAGGGCTGCACGATCAGTGGCGGGTAGCAGGCCTTGTTGTCCTCCTCAGGGCCAGTCTTGTGCGCCACCTGCACCGTCAGGTTGCCCGTCAGCTTGTACACGCGGTTGGTGGCACCCACATACACCGCCCCCGTGCCGCGGTGCACCGTCAGGTGGTTGAAGGTCCAGTCTCGGTTTTCAGAATGGAAGCTGACTGCCGGTGGTGGGGCGGCGGCGGGGGGCACCAGCAGCGCCCATAGCGTCCATAGCAGCAGGGCTGGCCGGCTGGTGGGCTCCGGCCTCTCCATTGCGAAGGCACACACGCGGGCCAGTTGCTGGCGCTCACCCACTCCGTGATCTGGGCCTGCCCTCACATGGCTCTGGAAAACACAAGCGGATGGTCAGAGGGGCGGGTTGGCGGGCGACGGGCTGCCCACCGCTCCCCCCCTGTTTGGTTTTTCTATTTTTAACGCAGGCTCCCGTGTGGGATGCTCGGGGAATCCTACTGTCTATTCTGGGCTCCAGCCTTTTCTCTGTAAAGTACATTTTTACTTTACAAAGCATCTCTATTTCTGTCCGCCATGACATGGGGTTCGCTCCCAGACAGGTGGAGCGGCGGTGCCGCCAGGACTCCCTGTCTGGCCAGCTGGCGGGCAGGCTGCCCTTGCCCTGGGGACCTTCCTTGGGCGGCGTTGGCTCACCCACCACAGCACCTGGGTTGCTGGGTCCTACCTGTGCACCCTCGCCCCTGCTTTGCAGCCCGCCTGCCCTCATGGGGCAGCCTCACCCAGCCCTGCTCCAGGAGGCCCTGATGGATGGCCCAGCCACACTCTTGGAGCAGGGTGCTGGCCGTGACCACGGACGCAGTACCAGAGCTGCTAGGGCACTCGGGCCTTCGGAACCGCGACCTCTGCAGGGAGCCCAGGGAGTGCCAGGCAGGGGCACTGGCCACCTAGGCCAGAGGGGCTGCCTGGGCGGCAGCTCCTGCTGCAAGACCGGAGGAGCAGGGTGGGGCAGCCCAGCCTCTTCCAGCCACTGGGATCACACCCCAGGCTCTGGCCCTCCCCCAGCCTCACAGATCCTGACTCAAGGTGGGGGCCTGGAGTTTGGACCCCTGCTGTGGGGGGTGCCCTGATGTTCCAATGCTCCTGACCCCTGGGAGGGGCTGCAGGCAGCAGCAGGAGGCAGAGGGCCCCAGGACACGCTTTCCAGCAGCTCTCAGACAAGCCGGGGCAGCTCTCCAGCAGGGCAGTGGGATGGCACAGGGGAGCCTGGGCAAAGAGTGCTCCCAGCAGTGGGGTCCTGTCTCCCCCTAGTCTGGTCAAATGGCAGGACAAGAACCAGAACCCGCCTCTCTGGGGGCTCTAACCGCTCTCCTGACTCAGGGTCCCCACAGCTGCCAGGGTGTCCAGGGAGTGTTGCCCCCCTGCTCCAGGGCTGCCATGACTCAGGCATCTTCCTTGCAAAGAGGAAGGTGTAGCAGGGCTGACCTCTCAGCCCTTCCGGCCCCACACGCACCCAAGGCCTCCAAGGACCCAGTTTTTGGTTTGAAATCTGGAAGTTATTTTTAGCGTGTCCTGGCCAAGGCAGGACGTGAGCTCCTCAAGAGTAGCCGCGGAAAGGAAATAACAGCCCTCGTGCCCCCAGCCGGCAGGGCACTCAGCACATCCCCACAGGGCCAGCCTGAGCCGGTGCTGAGCCCTCCACCCACTGGGTAGCACACATGCGGTAGCACACCTTGCGTCCAGGCGTGTGCGCACACGTCCCGGGGCGCAAGCTGGCCCTGGTAGCTGTTGACACCCAGGCACAAAGTCTGAGTCTCAATCCCGTCCCTCCTCCCTGAAGTCCCTCCTCCCATGCTCCCTCCTCCCCAGGGTTCCTCCTCTCCAGGGTCAAGGCTAGACCAACCCTGTCTGTCCTCCCCAAAGTCCCTCCTCCTTGGGGTCCCTCCTCCCTGCAGCTCCACCTCCCCGGGGTCCCTTTTACCCAGGATCTGAGTCTAGGCCTCATCCCTCCTCCTGGAATTCTTCCTCCTCAGGTTCTCTCCTCCCCAGGATCCCTTCTCCCCAGGGTCCTTCCTCCCCAGGGTCTGAGGTTAGACCCCTTCTGTCCTCTCTGGAGTCCCTCCTCCCTAGACTCCCTTCTCCCAAGGCTTCTTCCTCCCCAGCATCTGAGGTTAGACCCTGTCCCTCTTCCCCAGGGTCCCTCCTCCCCAGGGTCCGAGTCTAGGCCTGTTCCTCCTCCCTGCCTACCCAGAAGATGCGGTGGGAGTGAACAGTGAGTGTCTTCACTGCACAGAAATGGGGAACAGCTCGGCCCTTGGGCAAGGCCAGTGACCCCTCCCTCCCTGGTGGACATGCTGGCCACTCTCTCCTGTGGGGGTGGGAGCAGAGCTCGCCTGCTCTGTCCTCACACGGGGTGACCCCCAAAGTTGCACGTGGGGCCCTGAGCCCCGACTGCCACACTGCCCCCTGCCTTTCCAGGGGCTGATGTCCCACAGTGGAACATGGCCAGGGAAGTGGCATCTGAGCCGGCTCACACAGGTCCTCCCGCTGGTGTGGCCTCAGTGGGCCCCAGCAGCCGGGGGGGGGTGTGGGGGAGAAGGGCAAGGCCTGGAACCCACCAGCCTGCAGCCTAAGGGGCGCCCAGAGCCTCTTTCTGGGTCTGAAAATGACAGGTGCCGGGACCTCCTCTCAGGAGAACGCCCCTTGCCCCTCACCAGGCTTGGAGTCACAGTCACAGAGCCACCGCCGGCCAGGACCTGGGCTGGGCTCTGGCCCTGCTGTATCAGTGCCTCCCCCCAGGCCCTGCTGACCACCCAGGGCTCACGTGGGCCAGGCCCCCACAGGCTCAAGGCTCCCGCCGTGCCATGCCTGGCAGGGCCAGCTCTGCAGGGAATGGGGCTGGGGGTGGGGGATCCTCTGCCCAGGCCCAGCCAGTCTACAGCCAGCTGCCCCTGTCCTAAGTGAGGGCAGCTCCCACCTGAGGCCAGATGTGGGGCTGGAACTGAGGCTTGGGCAGATGGTGGCCAGGGCCAGCCCTCCCAAGGTCCCCAGGGAGTGGGCTTGCAGGTGGGGGGCGGGCCAGGCGGATGGGGCCCAGCGGGGGCTGGGACTACACAGCACAGCCCCCTCAGTGCCTGCCTGTGGGCACAGCATCAGGGCACCATCCTGTTGGGCAACAGGGGGCCAGGTAGGGGCGCGAGGGTCTCCAGGCACCCCCAAGGCCTGCACCCACTCAGCGGAGCTCGGCCTATGTCCTGCTGACCTGTGGCTGAGCTCCTGTGGCTATGACACCATAGCCCACACTGACCCTGCAGCGCGACCTCCATGGCCAGAGGGCCTGGGGCGGGCAGCAGGGGCAGGGCTGTGGGGAGACATCCTCGCCAGGCCAGGACTGTGGGTCTCCCCAGCGTCTCCCGGGCAATGGGCACCCTCCCTCGGGAGGGCCCGAGAGGACCCAGCCGCTCCCAAGAGCTGGGGGGGGGTGGTGGCGGTGAGGGGGTTCTGACCTGCAGCCTGGCACCCACGACTGGTGGGAGGCGCCCAAGGCGGGAGGAGTATGTGCTGGGGCCAGGTCCCATGGACACAACCTGGCCCAGGGGCCCTGAGGTGGCCAGCACATCACCAGGTGGCCGGGGCGCGACCAGGCACTGGAGAGCCCATGTCCCTCCGCCTGGCCCTCAAGGGTAGTCCAGGCACGTCGGGACGCCAAGGTGAGGGGGAGGGGTGGAGGCCCCGCCAGGCTGACAGCGCAAGGCCTCAATTACCGTGAAAGGAGCTATCTGGTATTTAAATAATTATTAGAAGGAAGGAGTAATCATGGGTTTGCGCTGATTTCTCCTCACTGTCACCCTGACGCTGTCTATAATATTATTATTCAAATGCCCGTGATTCTCCCTGAAAGAGCCAAGGAGGGCAGGAGCGTGGCCAGGGGCGGCGCCAGGCGCGGGCGGGGGCATGGGCGTGGGTGGGGGCGGGGCGGGCGCCCGTCCCTGGCCGCAGCTGCCACTCAGCTCAGACACCGATCGCTGCGCGTATTTTATGCACACGCGCTGGGGGTTCCCACGGAAAATAACAGGACCAGAGGAACAATTTAGATGTCACTGCGGCACCAGCTGCATCTGCTTCATTAATCGCATGTCATTTTCCCGAGCATGTGCTGTTATGTGACGCTAAGTGGCCTCCGGGCTGAGGGAGGTGGGGCAGAGCCCGGCAGGGCCAACCCGGGTGTCCGGGCCAGTCTGGGTGAGCCTCTGGGAGCAGCAGCACCCCACCTGTCCTCACAACTCCACTCCCACCACACTGGATAGATCCCACACGGCCCACGGAGCTGAGAGCCTGCCAGTCTCCGTTGAGGCCAGAGCTGCGCGTGGAGCTGGGGGCTTGGCTGGCGGGGGCCCAGCCCATGAGCACCGACAAGGGCAGAGGCAGGTGTGGCAGATTGAGCACCCTGGATCCAGCCACTAGAGCCTGTGCCCAGCCTCTCGGGCTGTGCCTGGAGGGTGGCCCTCACCCAAAAGCGGTGTCCTGACAAAGAGGGAACTTGCACAGGGGCAGGATGAAGACCCAGGGAGAAGTGTCACCTCCACACCAACATAGGGCACCCAGGCAGCCCCCCAGGCCTTGCCAGACCCAGGACTTCCTGTCTCCAGGTTCAGGCTGAATCCCTGCTGGGCGCGGAGCGGGAGGGCTCAGTCCTGCACACAGCCACCTTCTGCCAGGGACAGGTACGCACACGCACACTGTGCACACACACACTGTGCACATGCAAGTGCCAGTGTCAGGGTGCCCGGCCATCAGCAGGGGTGTGCGTGGCAGTCACAGGCCGGGTGCTGCATAGTCAGAACCGACGGCTCCTGTGTGCCCTCCTGCCTGCTGCCCAGGTCCTGACATGCAGGCGGCGTGGCTGGCCGGTTCCCAGGCCCCCGGGCTCTCCTGGAGTCTATCCTCCATGCTTGGCCAAGTCCGGCGCTGTCCCCTGAGTTACAAAGCTGCAGGGAGGTTCAGCGGGGCCGCCAGATGGGTGTCCTCCCTGGGGCAGGCTGGCCGCCTGGCAGATAAGATTCATGCAGGGCCGGCAGCACGGAGACGTACCGCTGACCTGCAGCCCTGCCCAGAAGCCCCAGTCTGCCGGAGTCTCCCAGAACCCCCTCATCAGCTGAGGTCACCTGGCAGGCAAAGGCAGCCCAGGGTGGGAACAGCCACAGTGGCCATCAGTCCCCAGCAGCCACCTGCCCTCTGTCCACTGTACCCCACCCCGGGCGTGGGGGCCCTGCGGTGTCCCAGACCCACGTCACACTGACCGGGTCACCCGCATCTCCCAATGGCAGGTGGCAGGGCTATGCCCGTAGGGCTGGTCGCAGGGCAGGAAAGGGGCC